TAGATATATATATAATATAGATAATTTTAGATTAGATAGATATTAAATTTAATTAAATAATTAATTAATAATAATATAATTAAGAAGAATTATATAATATAAATAATCAGGAGTCGACCGTCTACCTTCAAGCGCGACGCCCCCTACCGTGTACCGAAAACCCGACTCGCTTTTCTGGGTACACTCCCCTCTGTCCGCGCAACCTTCGAGCCGGGGGCACTGAGCTCGCACAACGTATATGTGAGACACTGATGCCCCTTGATAATTCAAAAACACGGCGTGGTGGCCGGCCCGAGGGATGGCGAGGTCCAGGGTCACCACGAATCCTCAACCGGGCACCTCGTGCAAGGGATAACTGAAGAGTGGGGAGGAGAAAAAAGTTAGGTCTACGCATGATGGAACGAGGGCGAAATTGGACGCTTGTGTGGCTGAGAGGAGGAGGAGGAGGAGGGGGGCTGGGAGGAGGAGGGGTGAGTAGGAGGAGGGATGGCAGAGGAGGGTAGGGGAAGGAGGTGGTTTTAGGAGGAGGGGGAGTTCGGATGGAGAGGAGGAGGAGAAGGGGGAGGATGCGAGAGCGAGGGGGAGGAGGAGGAGGAGGAGGAGGAGGAGAGGAGGAGAAGGAGAAGGAGGGGATGAGGAGGAGAAGGGGAGGAGGAGGGAGGGGAGGAAAGTAGAAGGGAGTTACGAGGAGGGGGTATTACGGAGGAGTTAGGAGTACGAGGAGGGAAGAAGGATGCAGGATTAGTAGAGTGGAGGGGCATTGGGGAGTACGAGAAGGGAAGTGTAAGAATGTAAGGAGGAAGGAGGAGTAGGAGTAGGAAGTAGGAGTATGGAGGAGGCTGGGGGAGGGATGTCGCGAGGAGAAGCCGACAAAATGTAAACATATTGCTTATAAACGGACGGCGTGAACGAAAAGAGGGCAGCGGGCGGCGAAAGGCTTCCACTCTCTCCGGAACCTATGGATGAAGCGTTGCAAGGAGGCCAAATAAGGCACACAAACGCGTAAGCTTAGGGGCACACAGGCAGCTTTAGGTCATGCTTGCATAAACACACATGCATATTAACCTAAATAGATGGACAGATAAACACATAACATACATACATACATGCATGCATACATACACACACACACACATATATGTATGAGATGAGAGAGAGAGAGCGAGAGATGAGAGAGAGAGAGAGAGAGAAGAGAGAGAGAGACGGAGAGAGAGAGGAAGAGAGAGAGCAGAGAGAGATGAGATAGAGAGAGAAGGAGAGAGAAAGGAGAGAGAGAGAGAGAGGAGGAGAGGAGGAGAGAGAGAGGAGAGAAGAGAGAGGAGAGAGAGAGAGAGAGAGAGAGAGAGAGAGAGAGAGAGAGAGAGTGAAGAGAAACCCAGCGA